TTTGGTGTTTGAAGGGCACTAGAAAGATCGAACTTTCAGGAAATAATGATCGAATATGTTTAGATTGTGAGTGTAAGAGTTTTCAGGATTGGAGGCAGTATATAATTAAGATAACCTCATCACAAATATTGTAAAATCCAATAAATTTTTCAAATTGCTAAGCTAGAAGAAGTTTCTTAGAGCCTTGTTATGTTTAACTAATTAATATAATATTCCAATAGAAAATGAAATTAGTAATAACTAACTTTTTTTTTTCTTTTAATATAATCTACAACAAAGTATTTAATCTATAAAAATCAATTTTAATTAGTGAAATCAATACATTCATGTATTAAAAATAACAATAAAAAAATATAATGAGTAAATATAAGTGCTTCAAATTTTAATGAGTAGCAATCAATAATTAAATAGTTTCAATAAACTAAACCGGTCAAAATAATTATATTTCAATAAAATTCAAATAGAGCGAGCAAGACCTAATAGCAAGTTATTTCTACTTAATACTCCATAGTCCATACTACCTTCATTTTTTTTTTTAGTCGACACTGTTTAATTTTTACACTATTTACAAACTAGACTTTGACTAGCTTTTGTGATTTATAGCTACGATAAAGCATAATCAAGTGAGATCTTGTTTGAATCGTATTAAAGTTTATTTTATTAATTACTACTTTTTATAATTTTACAATATCGAGAATTAGAGATATTAATCGTTAAAATAGTGCGTTAGCAAGCGTGATAAGAGAAAATTTTCAACTAAGTAAAAACGGAGGAAGTATTTTATAAAGCTAGATGATCTTTATGAAGCAATTATTGTAGCAAGGAATAGATAAAAATCTAACTATAATTTTATTTTATTTATCTCAATTCAAAATAAAAAGTGGAATTATCTCAATTCATGTTTTTAAAACATTACATAAGCATTATTATAGTTTAATTATTCTCACCCAATACAATTCAAATAAATTTTTTTTTTTGAATAGTACGATTCAAGTAATTACTCACGTAAGAAATAATTTACACTTAAGATTAGTTTATTTATTTATTTATTTATTTATTTTTATTTTTTTAAAGGCCTACACTTAAGATTAGATAAATGTTTGTACGTAGTAGTTTTTAGCACGAAGTTCAATGTGTCTGAATAATGGTGCAACAATAATGACAGGCCTTGTTAAACTTTTGTTCGACAGCTTTAAGCCATGCATTTCAGATCACAAACAAACTCAAGAACACCAACGGTTAAAAATAATAATAAAAAGTTGTTCGCCTGGCTTATTTTCAACCAATAAATTCCAAAAATCATGCTTAAGGATTATCCAAACTTAAAAAAAAAAAATAAAAAAAAAAAAGGTAAAGAATGTCTTAATGTTGTTTGCATATACTTTGGTAGACAAAAAAAATAAAAATAATTATAAAAGCTTGACAAATTGGACTTTTCGGTTAAGTATAAGTAAATCACATATATAAATATTTGACTTTTTGGTAATTATAATATATATAAATAAATTCTAATAAGTCAACTATAAGTAAGGGTATGTTCTCTTTAGCTTAATTTCAGTTCAATTCAGCTCCAATCAATTTAGTTTAGTTCAACTCCAATCAGTTTTATCAGTTCAATTTAGCTCAGTTCAGTAAATCATAACAGACCCTAAATCACAAAGTATAGACATATTAATTGCAATAAGTCAAATCATGAAATTAGGACATATTCACTTCAGCTTAATTTCATTTCAGTGCAGTTCAACTCCTAATTCCCTTCTCTCATAATATGTTCATTTGAGCTCTATTCAGTTCAGTTCAATTCAGTTTAGTTCAACTCTAATCAGTTTGATCAGTTCAGTTCAATTCAATTCATCTCACTTCAATAAATGTGAACAGACCCTTAATGGTGATCAAAATTTGGGTTGGACTAGGTCTTAATATCAAATCTTCATTATGGCTAAACTTGTAAAAAAAATTGGTAGTCGTGTTTAGTCAAATCAGACTTTTCGAGCTAGATTCAGATTTTTAACTAAAAATATTTTTTTGAACTTGTCCAAACTCGCATTATTTTCGGACCGGATTGGACAACGATCGATTTGGACCATAGTTCATCACACCTCGAAGTTATTAAGACTTTTTTTTGGTAACTATTAAGACCTTAAGAGTATAGAAATTGGAAAAATGAAGTTATGTCACTTAGGGCCTATTCTCTTCGGCTTGTTTTCAGTTCAATTTAGGGTCTGTTCTCATTGACTAAACTTAGTTGAACTAAACTGAACTGAAATGAATATTTTATAAGAGAAGGAAATTAGGAACTGAACTAAACTGAACTGAATTTCAACGTATGAGAACAAGCCCTTAGTTCAGCTCCTTTAAGTTCAGTTCAACTCAGTTCAGTAAATCAGAACAGACCCTTAGGGCTTGTTCTCATACGTTGAAATTCAGTTCAGTTTAGTTCAGCTCAGCTCAGTTTAGTTCAGTTCAGTTCAGCTCCTAATTTCCTTTTCTTATAAAATATTCATTTCACTTCAGTTCAGTTCAGTCAATGAATGAGAACAGACCCTTAGAGATTATTCTTAGTAGAAAATATTATGGTTTTTAAATAAATAGTTAGTTAATGTTTTGATCCAATCAAAGAGTAGTGCTTTCTTAATTAGATCATTTGTCATAATTTACTAATTAATAGTTTATATAATTAAGAGGATACTTAGGTTTGACTTTTGTCAATTTAACTCCATAAGCTTATTGATTACTTTTACAGGCTTACTTATAACCAAAAAGTCTCATTCATGGTGTATAGAAATCAATAAATTGCCTAAACATGTTGCTTGCAAACACTCCAAATTTACATAAGACATGAAAATCAATCACAATTAAATATTAAGATAATGTAATTTTATTTGGCAATCATTTTTATAATTAAAAATTAAATAGAAGTTAAATGTATACAATTAAGATTTTGTCAGCAAAGAAACAATGGTATACAAGTAAGATAGGGTGGGTGTGATGCCCTAGATGCTTGGTCAGGCGGTGCGGATCGGAGTCGGCTTTGGGCTGATATGTACGGGTGGTCCGGTGGTCAAAGTGATGATAGATTAGGAAGGAAGAGATATAGTAAAGGGGATAAGAAAAAGTATTAAATTATATGTCTTTACGAGAGATTCAAATTTAAAACTATTTTTAAAGAAAAAATTACTTATTAACTTTGGAGAAGCCCCCATTGACCTTAATGATAAACATTTTTCATTTATCTAATTTCGATTTTGTAAATAAAGGAAAAGTGGTACCATGCAACAATTTTTTAAAATCCCTTTAATTAATCCGGAAAAAGTAGCCGGACATAGCGGAGCCCTCGACTGGCTCAGATTGATGGTGCTAGCATGTTTGATGCTTAGTTGTACTTTGTTGCTGAGATGGACATTCCACTGATACCATTGAATTGAAGCAAATCTTCCTCCTTATTATCTCCACCCACCTAGCTTCCATCGACAACCTCACCCTTTTCCGACAGTATTGCCGCCAAAATAAATGAAATCCGAAAAAAGGTGAAACATAGGGTATTATGGTCAATCCCAAAGGGTAGGATGATCATGTCCTCTATGCCGCAAAGATTGGTGGTGATGATGATGAGTTTCCGTGAGCAAATGGGAAGATCAGTGGTGGCGACTTGGCTTCGCTAGAGAGGACGATAAAGCTTGTTTTCATCAAGGAAGATGGAGCAAGGTGATGGGTGACTAATCAAATGAGTGAGTGATGAGTCACCAATATATGTTACTTTTAATTACAATTCGATCACTAGATTAACAAATTTTGTTGATAAAAAGTTATCTCTATATTTCCTCATTAATTTCTTGTGTACATGATGGATCAAAAACACCTAATAATTTAATTTCCATTTGCCCAAATAAATTCTTGCAACCTCGATCAAATAAATTTTCCTCTTTGTTTGTTACATTTTCACACTCACCATTTGTAAATTTAAAATTCAAGTTCGTAAATCAAATATTCACAATTCATATTGTGTTTTGAGATTATGTTAAAAATATATTTGACTTCACCAACTAAATGTTGGGCTTTGATCACAAAATTAAAACGTGAAATGAATTCAACTGTTTGAGTACCATTATTTTTATATAAAGTGTTTTATGAATTCATCCCCTCCAAAATATTTTGTAGCAGCGTTAAATTGAAGCAAACAAAGTTATATGTACTTTTGTGCCTAAAAATTATATTATGGTGAATTATTATTTTATCTTGTAAAACAACACACTATGATGCTATTAATACTTTTAATAGCATAAGAAAGAAATACAAAACTAATTAGAAAAAGGAGATCGAAAGTGAAAGTAGGGAGTACCCGATCATATACAATTTTACACCCTCTTACATTCTTATTTTGATCCGAGTGTAGAGTAGATACCTTCGTGACCTAAAAATGAAGTGTAAAGGGAGAAAAAAATAAAAAAAAACCCTCTCACATTGATCCCTTCCCAAGTTGGCAAGTTCCCACGCTTTTACCTCATGGGTGATGGCCCCATTATTTTTGAAGCTGACGTGGAGGTAGGGGGCCATAAAAGGGGCCAAAAATAAAGCAAAAGGGTAAAATGGTCAACAAAAAATATAAAGAAAAAGCATCTCACTGGTCACCTTTTTGTCCCCAAAAAATTAACTAGAAATATAAGAAAATATAAAAAGATTTTACAACAAAGCAAAATATAAAATGATTTACAACAAACCTTTAACTCTCTCCATAAGACACCACGTGTCGTAGATCTGATTTACCAAGATCAATTTAGATCCTCCTCTCAACCTTCTTAGAGTACAGCTTTAGATCTCAATTTTCCAAATCAGCAAAATTATCCTACGTGTCATCGTACCTGGCATCCCATTTTACCCCACACCACACTCCTCCACGTCATCATTTCTTTTTTATTTTTTTTAATTATTAAAATATTTTATATTTTTTCAATATTAATAAACATTTTTCAATATATATACTATCTTCTGATCTGCTTCTTTGGTAGTATACTGCTCTTTCTTTTACAGGACACCCATTCATTCATTATTATAAATATTCAAAAAGAAATATATATAAAAAAAATCGAGTCTAGTTCAAGTTCGAATTTTTATTATAAAGATTAAACTTTGGGGACATTTTTTTTTTCTTGGGTATTTTCCAAACAAGTAAGTATAATTTCTCCTCTATTTTATTATTTTATTATATCACTTTAGCTGTCTGAAAATTGTAAAAAGAGCGAAGAACAAGAACCCTAAACTGGTTTGTGATTTTTTTCTATAGTGAATAAAGATTCAATTTTTAGTTTGATTTGGGGTTTTTTTTTTGATGGGTTACTGAAATTTTCTGCAGAGTTTGTAGGTATGGATTCATCTTGCTGAGCTGAGCTTAACAGGGGTTTTTAGATGGTACGTCATTTCTTTGATTTCTTTTTCGAAATTATGTAAAACAGTTATTGTTTGCTGATTTTGTGTTGTTTTATGTGGGATTTTGATTATTTTTGTAAGTTTTGGTTTAGATAAGTTGATTTTTGTGGAGGGTTTGTGTCTGTATGTTTTTGAAGCATTTGATTTTTTAATTGTAGTTGGGAAATTAAGAATTTGGATATGTGTTTATATGGATTTTGCTGTGGTTGATTTTAATTTAAATTGGATTTGGATTCTGATGACTTTGTGAGTTTGGAGAAGGAAGTTTTGTGTATTTGTGAGTTTTTTAAGGGTGTGTATGATGATATTAACTTTCCTTTTTTGGCGATCTGAATAGGGGTAATTAAAGGGATTTTCGTATGTCGAAGGTGTGTTCTGTTCGAAGATGCAGGGGTTATTTTATAAACATGTTGGATTAAAGTTGGAGAATGGATTCTTTTGCATAATTGTAATTGATCATTTTGAGTCTGGTTGATGAGGTTCATTCACAAAAATGAAAATGGTTACGGCGGAGTTAAGGTGGTGGCAGAGCTTAATCAATATAAAGAAGCTGAGAAAAGAGAAGGTAGGGGTGGGGTTGCAGGTGAAGGGCAGGGGCTTTCCGAGGAGGATGAATTGAGAATTATTGATGATGGTGAGGATGCAAACAGCAGGCGTTCTGTGAGTTCTGTTCAGCTTCCTGTGGTGACTCACAGGTCTCAATCACAAGTTCAAGGGCGAGTTCGTTGGGACAAGTTTCTTCCTGTTGGTAACCCCAAGGTTTTGCTTGTAGAAAGTGATGACTCAACTCGTCATGTTGTTACTGCTTTGCTACGGAACTGTAGCTATGAGGGTGAGGTTCTACACTCCAATTTAAAGGGCTTTTGGCTGAATAAATTTTGATTTATTTGAACTAGATGTTATCCTTTTAAAATTTCATGCATTGTTCATGCGTTGGCTTTTATTTTCTTTTATGTTTGTATTTTTAATACTCCAAAATTTTGCTCCTTTTACGGTGTTGAATGTTGATTAGCTTCTCCAATATATTTGTTGTAAGTCCACAAATTTAATTAGATGGAGGAAAGTTGGATAGGGAAAGATCTAGTAGAACTATGTAGATAATATTGGAATCAAAAGGCATGGCCGCATGGGAATCAGCCTCCAACATAATTAAATTAAATAAAAGAAAAAAGGGAGCTCAAACTATCATCAAATGTCCTGGCCTAACTATCCTAGAATTATCATTTTAACTTTATTTTAATATTCTCAAATTTACATATACGGTTTTTTGTTTTATTTGTAAATAATTTATTTTATGATTAAAGATGTTGCCTTTAAGTAAAAGCTATTTAGTTCCTATATCTAGGGGTTTTTTTTTTTTATTTTTTTTAAAATTTTTTTATTTACCGTTATCCTGTTGTGTATCATTTAATGAATTCTGAAAGTTGGGGTAGAGAAAGAATAAGGGTAGGAATTATATAATTTACAGGGAAAACGAGATTGGAAGAAATCAAGGGTATTGACTCTAGAGGAAAATCTGGGGCTAGATAGGACCTTGTATACCGAAATTTAAATGATTAATCTGAATTTTTTGTGTCAATTGTCAAAATCTACAAACATTTGCAATGGATTAATGGAGTATAATTTAGTTTGGATTGTCAGAATATAAGTTTAGTACAATTTAGAACTTGTATCATAAAAAGTATAAAATTTTTTGTCCTATTTTATCATGGTATGTGGTACCATAGTATCACACCAATGCCTTTGATAAGGTTCCTTAACTAGCGTGAAGCGTAAGAAGTTCAGAAGTACATATCTTCAGCTGCACAGTGACACCTGTCAGTTCCTGTTCTGCTTCCTAAGACATAACTGCGAGTCTGACCCTCCACCCCATGTAATTTATGTCGTCATTATGTTTCTCTTTCTCCATCCTTCTTTTGGAAGGTGCTTGGGGGCCAGGGGGATGGGGTGCTGGGGTTAGCTAAAAAATTGTCAAAGATGAGGCAGACTTTTGGCTTGTACATGCTATTTATGGGTAAGCCCTGTTACGTAACAGGATTGTCTGATGGGGGGTGTGGGACAGCCTACAAGGTATGAGTATTGACAATTGATGGGATTGAAATTAGGACTTAGCAATATAGGTGGATCCTTACCACAATAAGCACTCTAAAGGCTTGAGGTTTTTCTGAATTCTTTACTTTTGGGCATTGGCTGTGTATTATTTTCTGACTGACAGAGGTTTGCAGAATTGGGTTTGGAAATCTTGTCTTGCCTGTAAATGCATCCTGCTCCATTTGTACCTTTATAGTTGGTTTTGTTTGATCTTTCTTCGCAATCAAGCTTTTAAAGGCTATTTTTGTTTCCTCAATTAGGAATTTCGTAATATCGATTTCATGGTCATTTTAGAGAGAAAGAAACTGTGTCTATTGCTATATGCAATCGCTGAAGATTATTAGATGATTTAAGTAACTAGCTCTCTGCGAAAATAAGGCTCTCAGAAAGGCTTGTATATGGTTCTTTTACCTATCACATTAATGTCCTGTAGTGAAGTAGTGCTTGGATTTGAATATATTTGTAATATTAGATTTTGATTTCATTAAAAAAAAAAGGTAAAGTAAATTCAATTTGTGTGTTTTTCTACACCTTTGTTTTCATTTGGTGATGGACTCATGGTTTTAACTTTTGCAGTCACAGCGGTGTCAAGTGGTATAGAAGCTTGGAAAATCTTAGAAGATTTAAACAATCAGATTGACCTAGTCTTGACTGAGGTTGTCACGTCTGGACTATCCGGTATTGGTCTTCTGTCCAAGATTATGAGTCACACAAGCTGCCATAATACGCCAGTTATTAGTAAGTTCTAGTTACTTGTAGTCTTTGTTGTATGTTCTATATTGATTTGTGCTTTTTTGATCTCTCTATGTGTATGTTTTGTTCTTTCTTTATTTAGGTTTAGATGTTTAATCGTTCATGCTTTTGTTTGCAGTGATGTCATCTCTTGATTCAATGGGTCTAGTCGTTAGATGTTTGTCCAAGGGTGCTGCTGACTTTCTGATGAAGCCGATAAGGAAAAATGAACTTAAAAACCTTTGGCAGCATATATGGAGGAGGTGTCACTATGTAAGCAATTTTTAATCTTCCCAGCTTGCTGTGAACTTGATGTCATATTGGTTGACATATCACTCATTCATTTTTTGGAGGCTGTAACAAAAATGGAAATTTAAAACTCTGCATGATGGTTACTGCCTTTCTGTTTTAAATGTAGAATAAAAACTTTCAGCTGTTTTATACATCCTTTTCCTATATAAATTAATATGTTGCTAATACAGTTAGTTATCAGTATGTATTGGTGTTGCTTTCATTAATTTGTTTCATTTTTTTTGTTCTTTTCTTAGTCTAGTGGTAGTGGGGGTGAAAGCTTCATCCGGAATGAAAAATCTATAGGAGCCAAATGGGCCGAAGAGTCGAACGATGACACTGGCAGTGATGATGAAGAGGACAACAGAAGTATTGGCTTACAAGCTAGAAATGGAAGCGACAATGGGAGTGGTACTCAGGTAACATGACCCGTAATTAAAGTAAATTAACATTGTTAATTTATGTGTGAATAATGTGATTAATTTTTTATGGTCATTGCTTGTAAATCTCTGAAGATTAAATGAGAATCTTTATGGATTTCTTGGCACTTGATTTACTTATGACTTTGGTGTGTGCTAATTTATGCTACATGTTTTTCTAGATTCAAGTATGTTTGTGAATAGACTGAGCTGTGTGCGTTTGGAAGTTAGCTGCATTTTCCTCTCCTTGCTTCTGTGTTTGTGACACTATGCTTTAGTAATTGTTAATTATGCTTATATATTGAAACAGATTGAACTTGTGATACTTCCCTCTCTATTGTTGTTTTGTTTCTGAAGTGCTTCTTGCTTCAGCCTCAATGATCTCACGCTTTAGCATTAGTAGTTGATAGGCAGTCTGCATTTTGTACTGAACTAGTCTCATTTGAATGTCATTTCAATATTTATGAGGAAGCTATGGTTATACTTCCTCTACTTCTTTAAACTTGCAATGGTTTGACTTCTACAGTGTACACATATTAACTTTGACAACATGTTTTAATAATTATAAATAAGAATAAATGTTATTTTGTACTCTTTACAATGATGTTGGATTTGTCTACATGTAATTTTTTAAATCATAAATGTTAAAATCTTTACTAATAAAAATTAAAGATATTAATGGTCTAAGTTGTGTGTTAGCAAACATGATGTCCAACTGTTGGCCTTTTAAGGGAATGAAATATGTACTTAGTAAATGGAAGATATACATCCTAATTTTCCTGTTATCTATGTTAGTCAGACATGGGTACAATTGTTGGGTGAGTACATATGCAAGTGTCAGACACATGTCAGGATACAAAAATTCAGACACAGGGACACTGTCCATAAGAGTATAGGACACAGGTGCGGGGACACATCACTCATGAAATATTTTCTTGATCTAGAAGACTTTGTGCATGCACTTTTCATGTAGCAAGCATTTGCACACATTTCAGATTGATTTGTTTTTGCTAATTCTTGTAATACTTACAATCTCAGGCACTTTTATAAGCATGTATCGCATAATTTCTCCTCTTTCCCTCTCCCTTGACATGTTCTCTCTATACGTGTATTACAAGATGGTTGAAGTGTCTGGTTGGAAGTGTTGGGTAACATAGGTACTTGGGAAAATATGGATGAGCACCATTGCCAACTTATTTTCCAAAGTTTGTATAGAACTTTCAATTTGGGGCTGAAGCTTGTGCCGAACAGAGTTCGAAAAATATTTGTCTTTGGAAGTTCAACTGGTAAATTCTAATAATAGACATTAGGTTTTTACGTACCTTGGTTGGAAATTCTTTCAGACTCGACCTTTCATCTTCTGGCTGATTCCTGTAGGTTAAACCTGGCAAATTGTTTGCATGTGTAACTTATTGTATCTATTGAAAACCCTTTCATTCTAGTAGTGTATTGACAGGATTTACAGGAAGCTTAAGTAGGCTGAAGTAGACATGCAAATTTCCCCATAGCTTGCTAGCCCTGCCTATCTGTATGATTGCTTTTTATCTCTGCGTTTTTTTTTTTTTTTTTTTTTTTTTTTTTTTTTTTTTGTCCTTTAGGTCCTGAGGATCATCTATTTTGTCCATTATGACATATTAGTCATTAATCTGGCAACAGGTGTCTAAGGATAAGCAATTTTCTGTTTCATCTGAGAATTGTTGACTGGCCTATCTGCTTTCTGTTCTTCATCTTAAATTATATTTCTGGTTGGTTTCTGCCTTAGCTTAAACGAGGATCATTGAGATTCTTTTTTCATATCCCCTCAATTCCTTAGGATGTACACTTAAGTGATATAAGGCTGGTCATCTGTGAAGCTGATGGTCGTCCATCACTCCCTCTAATAAGTATATCTGAAATCACCCAGATCAGTCAGGTGTTATTCATGTTAAGGCCACTCCCCTCCCCGTCTCCCCTAGAAGCTAGATCTGGACATTCTATAGGAACTTTGTTAATCAAATATTGCATGGCTTCATAATAAGAATATCCAAAAAAAAAAAAAAATACAATGTCTTTGCAAAATCCATTACTTGTAAAGGTCCACTTCAGCAACTACAATTTTTTCTAAATTTTAAACTTGGCCTGATTATGGTGTTTAGAATAAGGTTGCTTTGGTTGTAAAAAATAAACAAATAATTTTTGTATGAAAAGGATTTATTTTAGACTTAAAAATTAGTGCATGTATACTTTCATTGTATATTTGACTTGAGAGTGAGGGATAGCTTAGTTTGTTAGAGCTTCCCTCCCGGTTCCAGGGGATCCCGGGATCGATTCTCATCACCCGCCCTTGTGGCTCTATAAACACCAAATAAAAAAATATGTATATTTGACTTAAAGTTTCGCATTCTTGGATTTTGTTTCATTGGGCAGTTTGACTGACTTAAGTGGTGTATTGGCTTTAACTTTCTTTGTAATCGGTTAACTCACTTGTTGCTTATGCAATTATTAAACCTATCCTTTGAAAGGTTTTCTCATTCATTATAACAACTTTTGACCCTTAGTGGGATTGGCGTGCTTTGCTTAAATACAAGCTGGCTTATTTTTCCTTTGCATTTTATGTGTTTGCTTGGTCTTTATGTAAATCATATTCCATAACTTGTATGTCTCTGCCTTCAAAACCAATTATATTGCAGTGCAAGAATATGGATTAATTCTTTTTTTTTCCCACATCAGTGTCTCAAATGTTTTTGTGCACTTCACACACATTTTAGTTTATAGTCTCAATATGCCTATATTTGTGCATATTAATTGGTGTTAGTCTGTTAGAAGTTACCAACCTTATTGCCTTCTTTCCTACCTTTTTGCTTTTTTCTAAATTTTCCCCTTTCTCTTTTTTGGTCAATTAGAGTTCATGGACAAAAAGGGCTGCAGAAGTTGACAGCCCCCAACGGCCATCAGCTTGGGACCAAGGAACTGATCCACCTGATAGCACTTGTGCTCAGGTTATTTATCCAATGCCTGAGGCATATGCCAGCAGCTGGATGCCTGGAGCCATGCAAGAGCATGATGGACAGGATAATCAACTTGGTATTTACTACTGCATTTGCTAAAAGTTAATATACTGTGTGAATTTGAACCATCCAATGACCTAGTGTCCACCTATATCAGACAATGTCCCGATGGGAAAAGACTTGGAGATTGGTGTGCCTAGAAATACAGATTCTTCGCTTAATGGACCAAACAGAAAGTTGACCCTATCAACTGCTGCTGAGAAATTCCAAACTTCACAGCTAGACCTGAACCTGAAAAATGATGGTCAGAATTTTGATGAGGAAAATCTAGAGATAAACAATGAAAATCCTAAAGGTGAACGAAATACTCAGGCTATGAACTTGCCTGGAGAAGCCATCAGCAATGAAGAACATCTTGATGGAAATTTAGTATCTGATGCACCACCTGTTCTTTCTGAAACATCCAAAAACAAAGACAAAGTCATGAACTATGATGAGGACTTGCCTTCCCTTGAGCTCAGTCTGAAGAGGGTGGGTGATGTTGCAGACGCAAGTACTAATGTCTTGGACCAGAATATCCTCAGGCAATCACAGCTTTCAGCCTTCACCAGGTAATGTGTGCTAGAGAAGTTGGAATTTGATTTAATTATATTTTAATCAGTACAAGTGAAATCTGGGCCTGGCATGACCCATCTCGCATATTAAAACAAACTTATGGACCACGTTTAATTTATGAATTTATTGTAGGTACAATACAGGCTCAACTGGTAACCAGGGTCAAACTGGTAATGTTGGTAGTTGCTCTCCACCAAATAACAGTTCAGAAGCAGCAAAGCAATCCAATTCTGACCCTCCTAACCAAATTTCGAATAGCAGCAGTAACAATAACAACATGGGCTCTACTACTAATAGATCTTTCACAAAACCTGTTATGACCACTGATAAAACACCTGCAAAATCAACAGTCCATGGTTCTCAACAATCATCTGTGTTTCAGCCAGTGCAAAGTGGTAAGACCACTGGTGGACCATTAAATACTGCTCTGCTGCAAGAAAATGAGATGAGTGATCAGCAACTCAAGAACCAACACCACCATGACTATCATCATCATCATAATTTTCATAGTGTACAGCAACTACAGAAGGTTCCACCTCAAGATGATACGTCGAAAAGCACCCTACAATGTGGGTCCTCCTCAAACGCTTCTAGAGTGCCAACTGAAGCAAATGTTACCAATGGCAGTTTAAATGGGAGTGCCAGCGGAAGTAATCATGGGAGTAATGGAAGTAGTGCTGTTGTAAATGCTGAAGGGTCGAACAAGGTCAATGATAGTGGGATAACTGCAAAGGATGGTGTTGATAATGGAAGTGGTAGTGGTAGTGGAAGTGGTAGTGGTGTTGGTGTAGATCAAAACCGATCAGCACAACGAGAAGCTGCCTGGAACAAATTTCGATTGAAGCGTAAAGAAAGATGCTTTGACAAAAAGGTAACACTACTAATTATGTCCATCGTATTTATACTTGGACATCTATTATGGTCATGCCATTTGTTCTAAAGTATCATATTCAAAGCTGAATCTTAGAAGTATAAATAGTACACATATATGCAGAGCGTATTATAGGGACTCACATTGTTTATTTATTCATGCAACAACTAAATTAAGACGTGAATATTAGTTTTCTGGTTTGGAATTTGTACTTACATTTGCCTGAAGCTTGCTGTCTTAACTCACAAGCCATGATTTAATTATCAAGCAACAGCATTTTGATTAGTGCTTTCTTATGACGTTAGGTGCGATATCAAAGTCGAAAGAAGTTGGCAGATGAAAGACCCCGTGTTCGTGGACAGTTTGTGCGCCAATAGCGAGAAACCAAAGGAAAGTTTGCTGAGAGCTAACACGACTCATTACAGAAGCCGCAGGCGAGATCATTTATGCCCATATTAGTGTTAGCTGTCCAGATATGTAAAAGATTTCAATTTGCCCTTTTTTCTTTTTTCTTTTCTTTTCTTTCCTTTTTTTTTTTTTAAATCACGACTGCATGAGGTGCGAAATACTGTCAAACCTCATTGATTCTGTATCGTCTAGACTGTAGGAAGACATGTTTTCCTTTGTGTTTTCATGGTTCCTATTTTGAGCTGTGTTCACTACTGTTAAACATGGTAGCCCCCAGGGTTGCCTCTGGAAATAAGCTTCTCCTTAAAGGTGTGCTGCTTTAACTACTTGTTTTGGTGTCAAATCTTCTGACAATTTTCAAGCTTTCATGGATTGCCTATGGGATCTTTCTACGACCCAATCCTCAGTAATACTGTTGATGGGTTTCACCGCGAAAAGGTTAGTCTAAACGGAAAAGATTCATGTTGAGTTTGTCAAAACTACAGGTTGTACAAACAGACTAACAGAGTAGTACTCCGTATATAGAAATAATCAAGGGCTCTGAGCTTCAGGCCTTCAGACGAAGTTAACTGTCGGTACTCTTAAGAGGGATTCTGCAGACTCATACAAAATGAGTAAATCTGGGTTTTCATAATCTTCAAATCACTCCGTATGCTCTAAAAAACAAAAATCATATATACAGTACATATTTCTTCAACTACACCATTTCTTTCTTTTTTTTTTTTTTTTTTTTTTTTTCTTTTTTTTTTTTTTTTTCATATAGTTTGATTGATCAGGCCTTAATGCTCAAGGTTTTTTTGGTCCAGTTTTGCTAAGTGATGGGAAAGGATAAGAGATCCTCACAAGGGTATTCACTATATTCATAATTCATATTATCAAGCAACAAAAGATTTCTTAAAATTCTGACTTTCTGCTATGAGTTTTTAGAAGACTCGTCCCACACTATTTACACTAATTCATTCATTCTCTCATGCTTTTATCTACTTTGTTCGGTACATCCATCCATCATTACACCATCTTTCTTACTTTATACATTTACTCTCTATTTGAATAACAATAGTGAAGGGAAAGGAGAAGTGAGGGGAGCGAGAATGTGACCTTTCATTTTCCTTCATAATCTCTCCAACATTGGAGGAATTTGGTTTACAAAAGGAGAAGAAAAATGGATCTTATAATTCCCTTTCATTCCCTCGCATTTAATATCCAAACAAAGGATTATGCATCACTCAATATAGATATCCAAACAAAGGCTACGCATATATCTAACATCTATATCCACACACCCAAGTGGCCTAGGTATAATTATAAATCTAAACTTGCTATACCACCCATATAGATATTCACTACCCGTCTATTTTCTACATATATAAACTCAACTATTATCTTGTTACTACCAGTTTATACAACTATACATTTTTTTTAGGCCTTTATACAACTATACTTAGTTGGAATAATAATAATAATAATAATAATAATAATAATAATAGAGCGGGTGAGATGCTGGGTGAGTAGTATTTCAAATTTATCATCACCTATAAACTAAAATCATATCTATACTCACTTGAGATTTGAGTATGGCTTCCAATAATAGAGCGGGTGAGATCCATGATGAGTATGGCTTTTAATTTTTATAACCGCCTACTATAAACTAAAATCATATCTATACTCACTCGAACTAAGACGAGTATGCTTATACCCTCTTGCTTTCCCAAATAACATTCCACACATATATGCAATATGCCATATGAATACAAAGTTTGTACTGAAAAAATATTGCCACTATTTGTATAGTGATGGTACATACCAATTTTTGTAAAAAATGATAGTACATAGTACATACCTCATAATACAAAGATGTACCTAAATGGTTGTAAGTGTTTGCCAATCCGTCCAAACTGAAGGATGTGAAGGCCTGAAGGGAGGTATAGCCGTATAGGTGTACCTTTTTTTTGGAACGACGTAAAAAGCTACGTAAGCATTGATGTAGACGTAATTTGTACTTGTTTCAGGTATTGTTTCGCTCCCTTAAATTTACCAATAAAGCTTGTTCAATCTTGTACAATTGACATGACACCTTTTCATCTACCTTAGAGAGCTTGTAAAACATGTAGAATAGAACACTACAATAATCTCAAATATAGATTTATACAAAACACATGATTAAGGAGCTAGGTTCTCGTAAGTCCTTAGCTTTACAAAAGATGATAGTTCGAATAAAAAGTAATTATTTTAATGAGTTTAGGGAAGTTATGTAACTTATGTTCTTTTACATTTTCAAAGATTAAAACCATGTTTTGCTCAGAATCGTACAAAATTGCTTGTAGCACTTTTAAATAGGAGCCTTGACTAAAATTTGTTGGTTAGAGAATGAGACAAACAACAACTCGTTTCTTTTAAAAAGTCAAACATGAGAAAATCAAGTACTTGTAAGACATTTATTTCTATTTGTTCTTAACATCTAATTTTCTTTCGGAAATTTAGGCAATTGGAGAGAATTAAAGTGTGGTGGAAAATGTGTTGTAAGTAAGAGAGGGAGGGAGTAAAAAGGTGGGTGAGTGTAAGAAAATTGCGAAATTGAGTGAAAAAAAAAAGTGTAAATATTGTGAGATAAGAAATTTGACAAAAATGAATTAAAACAAAAGTATAAGAAAATTAATAAACAAACTAATGAGAAAAGTGTTAAAAGTCCATAAAAAGTTCATGGACATATTTGTAAATCCACCTAATAATATTGCTGCAAGACATTATTGTATATTTGTATGCACCGTGTATGTATTAATTCAAGTCCAAAAGACAGTATATTAATGCTTATAAAACTAAAACTTGATTTCATATTATTTGTAGCGATTTGATATAAAATGAGAGAGTTGGAAAATGTATAATCATTGCAAATATCATAAAACGAAGGTAGTTTATAAAATCTTAATAGAAAAAAAAAATTATAAATCGCAGTTTTACATAATAACGTTAACATAAATAAAGAAAGAACAATCAAATTAAAGCAATGATCCAATGGTCATTAGTAATATGGGTTAGAAGTTTAGAACGTGTTAAAAGGCTCCACTCTTTTTCTATAGTCCTCTCTCTTTACAATTTTTGTCTTAAATCCACCTACTGTTAAAACGTACAAGCAATTCTAATCTACTTAATGACGGTTCCAAAATTCTTTTGGGATGTAGCTATGGTTCCTCTTGAATGGATAAAGTTAGAATATCGTCACAAAAATCTAACATGTAAACAGGTTTTTGACTTGTATACTTTTATAGGGCGTTGATAGATCACCTTTAACCTATTTACGTTATTTAGATGAGATTAAGCTCGTCTTGTGTGCGGCCGGCCACACCGTGTGACCACTTAAAGTAACTCCTATAACATTGATTAAGTAACCATGTAATACCAATAAGTAACCTCTATAACACTGACCGAGTAACTTTATAAGGACTATAACAATGATGAAGTAACCCCTTTAACCAGGGACGGATCTTCTAGGGGCTAGCCTGGGCTTGGCCCCCCTTAGATCTGATCCAATTTCTATTAAGAAGCAAGTTTAAAAAAAAAAAAAAGCCCACTTTGTAGCCCATTGGACTTAAATTCAGGAACACCTTATGTACCATCTAGTATTCCCAATTAGTCTAAGGTGCATCCTTGTGCACCTTAAATAGGTGTAACAACATAGCCCAAAAGCCTAATTACACATAACCCAATTAAAAAAAGCTCTAAAACTAAAAAATACGAAAAATGCAATACACCCACCCACACCCAATAAATGTAACGTCATTTTCAAACTCAAATATCTTCTTCTATATGATTTTCTCTCTCCTCTTTTTCACTTTCTCTCTCCTCTATTTCATTCTTTCACTAAAAAAGCTGCAAAAACATCTATGGACATTAGGAAAGAGATGCAAAATCAAAAGGATCCTCCCCAAAAAGGCAATTTTATGTAAATTTCACTTAATTTTGTTTGAATTTATATGATTATCACTTAATTTTGTTTGAATATTGTTCAAAATTTATTATTGAAATTGTCAAAAAAATTAGTGAAATCAAACGGATATTTTATGTTCACATTTCGAAATGCATATGTTTATATTTTGAATTCTTATGTTCATATTTTGAATCCGTATGTAAACTTTCTGAAATGCTTATATTCACTTTCTAAATCCATATGTTCATATTTTTTATGTATATATTCACCTTCTGAAATGCTTAATTATGTTCATACGCATTCAAAATGAACCAATGCATATGTTCATATTTTGAATGCATATGTTCATATTTTTAATACTTATGAATTATGATGCATATGTTTCATAACCATATTATTTTATTTCTTCAATTTTTTATGTTCATAATAAAATGTCTTATATTCATAATAATATTTTATATGTTCATAATGTAAATATTCATAGTAAATATTTGTCGTTCTCAACAAGTCTGTTTATGCATATCTTCTCTCTCTTAAATGCATATGATCATAGTTTTTACGCATATGTTCACCTTTTAAATGGTTATATTCACTTTAAGGAAACCAATGCTTACTTTCATATTTTGAATTGTTATGTTTACTTTCTGAAATGCATATGTTCATATGTTTTATGCTTATGTTCACTTTCTGAAAAGCTAATGTTCACATTTAAGGGAACCTATGCATATGTTCATATTTTGCGTGATTATGTTCATTGATAAAAAAAAATGCAGAAAATCAAATGAAATTCATACACAAATGAAATTGATCGAAGCTAAAAAAAATTCAATTCATATGAATTTAAAAAATCAGATAAACAACCAATTCCATATTGTAAGTAACATATTCAATCGTTAAATAGGAAAAACGAGAAAAATAGAAAAAAAAAACAGAGGAAAAAGGAATTAAAGAAGGAAGGAGAAAAAATAGAGTATAATTTGTGAATTCAAAGATTCATATATACCTTAATCAATCGAAATTAAAGCACAAAATCAAAATTCACACAAAAATTCATGCTTAATAATTACTTTCATGTTGTAAGAAACAAATTCAATCAAAAAAGTGTAAAAAAGGGGAAAAATTAAAAAAACAGAGGAGAGAGAAAATACAAAATGAAGGAGAAAAATAAAGGAGAAGAAACCTAATGTTAACTTTTTGAAAAGTTAATGTTCATTTTGTGCTGTTGTTACACCTATTTCTAGGTGCATAAGTGTGCACCTAAGAATATGTGTAGTATTCCTCTATATGTTTTTACTTGGCACAAACTCCTATGTGAGTTTGACATATGACAAATTGGCCCATCTTTCAATACATAAATGACAGTATTATTGGCAGTCAAGTACAACTTTTTAATTTTTTTTTTTTAAAAAAAAAACAAATTCTATATAAACAATAATAAAGTACTCGTACTACGTTATTCATGTTTAAAAAATTATTAGGCAATTAGCAATGATATATATGTACTGTATTTGCTGTTCATAATTCTTTTTATTTTTTTTAATAGCTACTTTACAAAAAAAAAATAAGGTTAACTATTTTATAGTATTAGTATCTGCTATGGTTTAAATTTAGAAATTAAACTTTAATTCGGCCCCTCAAAAGAAAATTGTCAAGGTTCGCCACTGCCTTTAACATTGATCAAGTAACCCCCATTACACTAGCAAAGTAACCCCTATAGTAGTTGGCCTGTGAGGCCAGCCACATATAAGACTTTGTGTTTAGCCATATATCTACAAATTTATATCTTTCAATTATAATGACGCCAAAAAATTGTCTTATGTGTGTTAAAAATGCAAGAAATTTTATAACCTCATAGTTTCCTTTTTTTTTTTTTTTTTTTTTTTTTTTTTTTTTTTTTTTAGAGGATGCCTACAAGACTAAACTCTTGGAAACTTGTTGTTTGGGTCCAATTTATCTAATTGGGCCTAGTCATTAAATGATTCAATGCTCCAAGGTCAAGGCCCAAGCCTCCAATCAAGCCAAGTCAGCTATGTATCAATTGGTCCAAATTGTCATGGTCAGCCCATGACTCAATCCGGCCCAATCATTCTCCTCCTTTTGTCATGCCAAGGTATAAAAGCCTTCAACTCATTCATTTATGATATACACACATGAAAGCCTCAAGCACAAAATCTCTCGCATAGCTTTCTCTCTCTAAACACTGTTTGACTTTGGCATCGGAGGGGTCTTCCTCGGATCCACCCCCGAGGCCAGTTTACGTGTATTTGCTGTGCAGGAAACCTTCGGCCCCGCATTATTTGGACCGAATAAGTCTTCATCCACTTCATCGGACCTTCGGCAAGGTCCCATTTTTTTCACCCGAAACAATTTGGCGCCGTCTGTGGGGAAGACTTTCAAAAATCTTTAAGCCAATCAAAATCATCTTGCAATCATCTTAGTAGCAATGGCTAAGAACCGCAAGAACAAAAGCCTACGTCAAGGAGTGGGCGAAAGGCCTAAAACTCCTACACCATCACCTTCGCCGAACAGGAACTCTTCGAAGGGTGCCAGTTCGGGGGGAGGATCATACCGGGAGGATTCCCTTTCTCCCGTAATTCACGATTCTCACCATAGACCGAGTCCCCCTCGGTCTAACAAAAGTCAGTCCGATCATAGGACTCATTCAGTGCCACAAAGCCAACCTTTGACCATCCGCTCTCACTCTCACGCTCAGCCGAGGACCCCTTTGACGGGGCCCAGCTCGGAAGAAGTGGAAAGAGCGCTGGCGGTGCTCATGGAGGCAATGAGGGCACAAAATATGCCTCCACCTCGTGATCGGACTCCTCCGCATACAAGGCATCAGCGGAGGAAGCTAGACCATGACGGAGGGAAGCCTCCCTCCTTCCGGGAGCTGGAAGAGTGGGAAGAGGATACTTGGAGAACTGAAAGAGAGAGGAAAAAGAACCCTCAATTTTTCAAAGGATCCTCTACCTCTCGGCCAGAAACGCGCAAGAGAAGCAGCTCAGCCTCTCGGCCGGAATCTGCCCACCGAGAGCGACCTAAGACTGCTCGCCGAAGCGTACTCGACCGAATCGGCGGCAGGGAGCCGAGCGTGCACAGCCGCCTCGCGTTCCCTGTAGCCGAGGCCCAAACTTCCCAGCCAGGGACGAAAACCACTCCAAACTCTCTAAGAGGGCGGAGCGCGGTCCCTTCGGCCAGGAACAAGAGCAAGGCCGTTATACTACCCACCAGTTCCCCATTCGAGCAATGGATTCTGGAAGAGATTGTGCCCACGGTTAAAATACCGTCGCACATTACATACGATGGGACTTCGGATCCGAAGGACCACATCGCCTCTTACGAGGCTCACATGCATCTCTGCCCGAGGTCCGAAGCGACCTGGTGCAAATATTTTCCCACCACTCTCAAGGGGGTTGCGCAAGCGTGGAACTCCAAGGGAGTAAAGGAAGGCTCTATAGCGGGGTGGGACGACCTGTCCACCAAGCTTAAGAGCAAATTCTCCACGGCAAACCGCTGAGAGAAGACCACTGCTGAGCTCATGGGCATGCAGCAAGGGGAGACCGAGAGTCTCCGAGACTACCTGACCCGTTTTAGCAATGAGTCATCCAGCGTGTCTCAGCTGGACCAAGGGCTAGCAGTTTTTGCAATGCAGAACGGCCTTCAGCCCGGAAAGTTCCTAGACTTCATGGTCATGCACACCCCGCAGACCTTGGAGGAGGCTCTGAATGCCTCGGATAAATTCATCCGAGCCGAAGAGTGGAACAAAACAAAATCCCAACCCCAATCTGGGAATGGGAAGCAAAGGCAGCCGTATGAAGGCCAAGGCCAGAAGACGAAAGGAAAGGCGAAAGCCTCGTAGCAGTCTTCGGCCAATGAGCCGAGGAAAGAAAAATCTGCCCCATACGCAGGCAGATACGAGTCTTATAGTCCGTTAGCCCTTCCGCGCGCTAAGATCTACAACGTGACGAAGGAGGAGCAGAGTTATAGGAAGCCGAGACCACTCCCCGAGTGGTATCAGCGCAAAAACAAAAATCAGCGGTGTGAGTTCCACGAAGCCCCGGGACACAACACTGAAGAGTGTATCCAGCTGAAGGACCAGATCGAAGACATGGTCCGGAAGGGATACTTGAAAAAATACATCGCGGATCACCGCGAGAAAAAAGAGGCCGAGAAGTCTGAAAAAGACTCTCGGCAGGACCTTGACTTCCCCCGGAAGAACAGTAAAAATGCGGAGGGAAAATTCCCTCCAATCAATGTTATCTCGGGAGGAGTATGCTCTCGGAGGGAACGCAAGCGGCACCTTAGGGCTCTGACCCACCAGGTGAACAACGCTAGCATGCAGCCTCCCCAGTCGCCGGTGCCGAACATGACGTTCACAGCCGCCGACTGCCGGGGGGTAACGTTCCCTCATGAGGACCCGTTGGTGATCATCGCCACGGTGGCCAACCACGACGTCAGCAAAGTTCTAATTGACGGTGGTAGTGGAGCAAATATTTTGTTCCGAAAGGCGTATAATCAAGTCAAGCTGAAGCCTAAGCACCTCACGCCGGTATCCTACCCAGTATCCGGATTCAATGGGGCTTCAACTTATCCTGATAGGAAGGTTCTGCTCCCTGTCACCATCGGCTGCGATGAAGCAGCTAGGAACGTCATGACTGAATTTTTGGTCATCGACGCTCCTTCAGTGTACAATGTGATCTTGGGGAGACCCATAATTCACAAGATCCAAGGGGTCATCTCAACATATCATCAGCTGATGATCTACGTTTCAGACGCCGGCTTCCCCGGAAGGATCCAGGGCAGCCAAAAGGAGGCCCAAAGGTGCAACTACCTCAAGCCATCCACTACTCGTCCAGATGACGGCGATGAGGATGAGGAGGAGAAAGAAAAAGAAAGAGAGCCGAGTACAAAAAAGCTGAAAGGTTTAAGTGTTTCGGCCCAAGGTTCTGTGCCCAAAGAAAAAGGGCCAGAAAAAGAAAGGGCTAACTCTTCATCTGAGCCGAAAGACTCTGGGAGCCAGCCGAAGAAGAAAAAGTCTGGGACGCCTGCTGACATAGACAACAGACCAGATTGTGAAGAGTCCAGCCCATCAACAATGGACCTGGACCAGCAGACTGAAACGGTTGAGTTGACCGAAGGAGACGCTGAGAAACGTGTAACAATCGGGATGGACCTTGATTCGAGCACCCGTTGTGAACTTATTCAACTCCTTCGGGACAACAGAGACGTGTTTTCTTTCTCGGCAGCTGACATGCCTGGGATAAGTCCAGACCTCATCTCCCATAAGCTTAACGTCAACCCAACGTGTCGGCCAGTTAAGCAAAAGAAGCGGAATTATTCCGCAAATAAGAAACGAGACATCGCAGCCGAGGTCAAAAAGCTGCTAGATGCAGGCTTCATCGAGCCTTGTCAATATCCAGAATGGATGGCAAATGTGGTGATGGTTCAGAAGGCCAATGGTACCTGGAGAATGTGCGTTGATTTCACGGACCTAAATAAGGCTTGTCTAAAGGATTTCTATCCCTTGCCGAGGATCGATCAGCTAGTCGACTCGGCAAGTGGCCATGCCTTGCTTAGTTTCATGGACACATTCTCGGGGTATCATCAGATCTTCATGCACCCCGACGACCGAGCAAAGACGGCATTCTTCACGAACGTCGGGGTGTACAATTATAAAATGATGCCCTTCGGATTGAAAAATGCGGGGGCAACTTATCAAAGGCTGGTGGATCAAGTTTTTGCCGATCAAAAAGGCCGAAACATGAAAGTTTATGTTGACGATTCAATCGTCAAAAGAAAAAAATCTGAAGACCATGTTAAGGACCTGGCTGAAACCTTCGCCACCTTAAGAAAACATCAAATGAAGCTGAATCCGAAGAAGTGCGTCTTCGGCGTGAAGTCAGGGAAATTCCTTGGGTTCATGGTCAGCAAGAGGGGGATTGATGCCAATCCCTCCAAAGTCAAAGCAGCGCTCGATCTTCCTGAGCCGAAAACAAAGAGGGATGTTCAGCGGCTCACCGGAAGAATGGCAGCCCTCTCGAGGTTCATTTCTAGAGCTTCGGAAAAGGGGTTACCTTTCTTCAAAGCCCTGAAACTCCCAAAAACAAAAGATCTCGTTTGGGAAGAAGAGCAAAAAGAAGCCTTCAAGCAGCTTCGGGAGCACCTAGCTCAACTCCCGACGCTGGCTAGTCCAGTAGAGGGAGAAACTTTGTATTTGTACGTGGCTGTCAGCCCAGCCACCATCAGCGCGGTGTTGCTGAGGGAAGAAAATAAAATTCAGCAACCGATCTACTTCGTCAGTCACACTCTGACGGATGCCGAGACTCGCTACCCTCTACTCGAGAAAGTCGCCTTTGCAGTAGTGGTAGCTGCTCGAAAGCTGAGGCCCTATTTTGATTGCCATCAGATAGTGGTCTTAACTGATCAGCCGCTGGAAAAAGTTCTCGGCAAAGTTGAAAAATCTGGTAGGCTGGCCAAGTGGGCTTTCGAGCTCACCGGATTCAGCATCAGCTACCAGCCGAGAGCAGCCATCAATGCCCAAGCTCTAGCGGACTTCTTGGCCGTATGCTCGTACCAAGAGACGCTAGACGATGAAAAGAAAATCTGGACCGTGTTTATGGATGGATCCTCCACCGTAAATGGTTCGGGGGCAGGGGTAGTGATAACCTCTCCCGAAGGCAAATCCTTTGAATATGCACTAAAATTTTCTTTCAAGGCTTCAAACAACGAAGCTGAGTACGAGGCAGCAATCGCTGGCCTAGAATTGTGCATCTCTCTGGAAGCCGAACATGTCTGCCTGAAAACAGACTCTCAGCTAGTTGCATATCAGATCGGTGGCAGCTACGAGGCCAAAGAGCCCTCCATGATAGCCTATCTTGCCAAGATCAAATCAGTCATTGCAAAGCTGAGAACTTTTGAAGTTCAGCTGATCCCAAGGGGTCAGAAAGCTCAAGCCGACGCACTCTCCAAACTTGCCAGTTCAACTCTCACTGAGCTGAACAGATCTGTATATGTGGAGGTGCGCCGAGAAAGAAGTGTCGACGAAGCACCTGAAGTGTGCTGCGCTGACCCAGAGCCCAGCTGGATGGATCCCATCCTAGCTTTCAAGCTTCGGGGAGAAATTCCCGAAGATAGAATTTTGGCCTCCAAACTGAAAAGAACCAGCTTAAGGTTCATCGTCTTCAGAGGGGAGCTTCTGAAAAAGTCCTCAGCCCCATTGCTAAAATGCGTGGGACCAACAGATGCAGATTACATCCTTCGGGAGGTTCACCTCGGCATCTGTGGGAACCACATTGGGGGAAGGACCCTAGCCCACAAGGCATTGAGGGCCGGATATTACTGGCCCACCATGATCTCAAATGCTAATGAGTTGGTCCGAAAATGTGAAAAATGTCAAAAAATTTGCACCAGTCATCCATCAGCCGGCTAGAAATCTTCAGCCGATCCTTAATCCACTTCCATTTGCCCAATGGGGGCTGGATATTTTGGGACCCTTTCCAGATGCACCTTACCAAAAAAGATGGTTAATAGTCAGTATCGACTATTTCAGCAAATGGATTGAGGCTGAAGCAGCTTCGAATATCACAGAACAAACTGTTAGGAAATTTATCTGGCAGAACATTATTACCCGCTTCGGAATTCCGAAGGTCTTTGTCTTCGATCATGGGAGGCAATTTGATAATCTACCGCTAAGGCGGTACACAGATCAATTCGGCATTAAATTGGCATATTCAGTAGTGTGTCATCCACAAAGTAATGGCCAAGCTGAAGCTGCAAATAAACAAATCCTCAACGCTTTGAAGAAAAGGGTTGAAGATCAAAATTCCAAGTGGATAGAGGAGCTCCCAGGAACCCTCTGGTCGCTTCGGACGACTGAAAAAGAGGCAACGGGCTATTAACCTTTTGAGCTGGTGTATGGTGCCGAAGCCGTTCTTCCAGTGGAAATCGGCTCTGAAAGTTTACGAGTGCACCACTTCTCGGCTGAGAATGAGCAACTTATGAAGGAATCTCTCGATTTCCTCGACGAAGTAAGGGACTCAGCCCGAGACCGAATGACTGCTTATAAGCAGAGAATCAGCAAATTTTACAACCGAAGGGTCCAGGCAAGGCCTCTCAAAATTGGAGACCTTGTCCTTCGGAATGCTGCTGCAGTTCAGAAAGGCCGAATCCATGGGAAACTCTTAGCTGCATGGGAGGGACCCTATGAAATCTATGATGAGCTTCAGCCAGGGACATACCGTCTTCGTCAGTTAGATGGAACGGAGATGAAAAATCACTGGAATGCTGATGTACTTAAGAAATATCATGTGTAAACCCTTTGGGGCAGAACAATCTTTGTAAGTACATTTCGAATCATTAATGAGAGGCCTCAGAGCTACCATTTCTATAATTATTTGCAACTTTCTATTCTTTCAAGTTTTCTTTATTCTATCTACTCTTTAAGGGTTTTTATTCAGCCTCGTCTGAAACCTTCGCCTTTGGGTAACTAGGTTTCAGATTGTTGACAAACTCGTCTTTTTTAAGAACTCTGGTCTTTCAGCTGAAGTCAAACTTCAGTAAGACTTGTTCTCTAAAGACATGAGTCCATGGACAAATCTGGGATATTGCCTTAACTGAGCCTTGTATCCCAGAAAGCCATTATCCGAAACATTGCCTTCAGTTGGCCTTGTATTTCGGATATCCATTTCAAAAGATAGACAGAAAATCAAGGATAACAGCAGCTGTCAGAAATCTTTTATTCAGCTCTGTCTGAAAGTTAAAGAAACAATACCCAACTCAGCAATCCGAAGACTTGAGTCTTCAGATTTCTGGGGGGGGGCAAGAGGCACTATCAGTGCAGGTTTATCTTCAGCAGAATCCTTCAAGCCGAAAGCTTCGTACTTAGCAAATTTTTGCGAAATTTCTCAAGTTCAGAAAAAGTAAAGCATTCAAGACAAGACAAAGCAAGTGAAGAAAAAATATCAGATTGATGAAATCACGCTCGTATAACGAGCCACAAAGTTTAAGTGTTCAAATAAGCTAAAAGATTATATCGGCAGCCGCCCACAAGCGGAAAATAACAGCTGCCGAAACGCGTACAAGGCAAAAAGAAATAGTTTGTACACTGAGGCAAGCTGAAGCAAAAACAGGCAAAAAACAGTCAGAAAGCGGCATCTTTCATTTTAAGAGCACGTTGATCCGCAAGATTCTGAAGACGACTGCCCGAGTCCCTAGGCTTCAGCTGGAGGGTCTGGCATCCCTATGGGGGTGGAATCTAGCGTGACATCAGCCCCAGCTGCAGAAGAAGCAGGTCGAACTGAAGCCTGGACTTCAGCTTCCTTCATCTCAGCTTCTCTCAGCTCAGCCTCCCTCATCTCAGCATCCTCGGCCTGGAGGCGAGCCAACAAGTCAACTTTAGGCTGACTGGCTTGCTGCATATGAGGATCCGCGGGGTCTTCAGCCCAGACTTCACACTGATACCAGTCCAAGCCAGGCGCAGCATGAAGAGCCAGTCTCCGAGCTACCCCATAACCGTTGAGGTAGGCAGTCGAGTACTCCTCCCGGGTGTAAACCCTGAGGGCTAGCTGGGCCTCAGCATCGGCCAGCTTCTTCTGCACTTCCTCCATGGCTTTCTGGGAAGTCTCTCGTTGTCTCTCCAACTGGGCCTCGGCATCAGCAAGCCGCTGCTCAGTCTGCTTAGCCTGGGCTTGGGCCTGGGAGAAGCGCTCTTCTTGACTCTTCAGCTGAACCTCCAGACCGGTAATGCTTTGCCGCTGAGACTCCAGCTGAATCCCAGCCTCAACCAGTTCCTTCTCCCTCATTTCGCAGGCCTCAAGGTGCTGTTTGACGTTACCCTCCAAGATCTTGATCTTCTCCCGAGATATCTCGTCTCGGGCCAGCACTTGAGATTTGACCTCAGTGTCAATTTTTTGCTGGATCTTGGCCTTGAGGCTGGGAACGTCAACCGCGCCGAAGGCGTTGAGCAGGGCCTCACCTTCATCTATTGGAGGCAGAATGTCCCGCTCCATTTCAGCGCAGAAGGTGTCAAAGGAGTCAATCACAACTTGAGCCCTGTGCTCGGCTTTCTCTTGCTTCAGCTGGGCGAGCTTTGCCTCTGATTCAGCAATGTCCACCCTTTCTTGGAGCGTGACAATCATCTCACAGGTCATGGTGTGGTTGTAGACAACCTGCAACACCAAAATTAAATCTAAGTCAAATAAAAGTGGCATGGAATAAATCGGGGACGCTGAAAGTGCAGAATTTAGTTGCAAGTGCATACCTGCATCAGCAGCCTCTGGTTGTCTCGGGCAGGATCTGGCACTGAGGGACCAGTTTCGGCTATTCCAGCAGTGGCCCGAACAGACCATTCTTGGACTTGCTCCATTTCAGATAAGTCGGAGCACCCGCCGAAATAAGCCTCAGTGCTTTTCTTGTGCTTACCACAAATCTCGGCCCTAACGCCAGCAGGGATAGAGCACTTCTTGGCTGAGAACCCCATGTCCCCAGATTGGAAGGATTTGAAAGAGGGGAACGAAGTTGACGGAACTTCATCAACTTTCTTGGGCTCAGTCGTTTCCCCTCCTTCAGTCTGGTCTCCTCCGGCCTGGACCCCTTCAGCCCCGCCGATAGGTTGACTAATCCAGGCGTCAACCTCCCGCTGGATCTCTTCAGTGAAGGCCTTAGGGGCCCCGGCTTCAGCAGTAGCCGCCTCCTCGGGTACTTCAGCAATCTCAATTTCAGGGAGCTCAGCAGCGCTCCCCCTGTTGGAAACCCCTTCAGGAACCCCTGCCTTCGGATCAGGAGTCCGCTGGTCCACCTCCATGTCAGCAGCTGGAGGGGGAGTCTTCGGCGGCGACGGGGTCGGCGGTGGTGGCTGAACCGGGGGCGGAGGACCCCCTGTACTTCTCGGAACCCTGCCCAGTCCAGCAGCCGGTTCCCTTATTACTACGCCGGGTCTCGGCCCCAGCGTTAACTCTCCCGGACCCATGACAGCTGGGCCCGTCCTTCTCCTCTTCCTCTGTTCCAGAGGTTGATCGTCCATATCGTCAGAGTCAGAAGTTTCCAACTCTGAAAGGTCGTCTGACGATGCTGGACTCTTTCCTTCTCTCCTTCTGCTCTCTTCCTCAGACTGCAGAAGTGGGGGAGCAAGAAGGGATCAGTAAAAAAAAAAAAAAAAAACAACAAGCAAGCGCTGAAAGACTTACCAATGTCTTCGGCTGGACCTCGGCAGCTCTAGAAGTCCCCTCACCACTCTCTAGGGAGTTGATGGCCCTAGTCACTTCTTTGGCAGCCTGAGCGGCGAGTATTTCCTCGGCGAGCAATGGCCTCAAAGGATCCCACTTTTCCCACCAAGGCTTCTGCCTCAGATAATCTGCAGCAGCTTCGATCTGAAGGCCCGTCGAGTGTAGGTGCAGAGTACGATCCTTCGGAGCAGTGATAGCTGGAGCTCGGTCTAGGATGACCCTTTCAGCGTTCACCCCCAGCCGACCGTAGTCAATGCCAGAGGTAGCCTCACTCAACTCTGGAAGGAGAAGTCGAAGGTTAGCCCCAAAACAGACAAAACAAATAAAGCAAAGACAAAATAAAGTCCCCGGCCCCAGCCGAAGGTACTTACCGTTTCTATACTTTCGGCTGAGGCCGACAACTGCAAGCATCTTCTCTTGGAAGACGTAATGTTTATCGGGAAGCCATCGGGTCGGGAGGGACTTCAACCGGCCGGTCCCCCAAGGATTTCTTTGCTTCCCGAAGAAGCTCATCTGCTGATAACTTGGATGGCTGGCGGCATTAGGGTCTTCGGGACCCAAATCTTGCATGATCGGATCGGGCCTGGAGAGATAGCGAGGGACCCTGAAAAAGTAGGGGTGCTCCGGATCGGCAGGGGCCCTCACCCAGATCCACTGACCCTCTCCAGTCCTTATCCGAAGAGTCATTCGGCCACATAGTCAAATATTGAGGGCAACTCTCTATTCGCCACCAGCCTGAAGACCCGTGCTGGCCGTACACACTCTGGGTGTTCTGCACTAGCTGATGCATCCTTCGGAAGCAATGCAAATTCGGCTCAACGGAAAAAAATCGGCACACCCAGAGATAAGTCATCACCCGCCGAATGCTGACAGGCGTTAATTGGCATAGTGAAATCCTATACTTTATTAGAATATCCCTGATGAAGGGATCCAAAGGGAACCGAAGCCCGTACTGCAACTGCCGAGTGTATACTCCCACATACCCAGGGGAGGGCGATGAATTCTGTGAGTAGGCGAGGGCATTCGGCACCAATACCCGTCTTCTTCGAAAATGCCGTAGTGTAGTTCGATCTGTTCGGCAAACCGATAAGCTTCGGCATGCCTTACCCACCAGTAATAAGGGGTATTGTCAGTCATAGCTCTCTGGGCTTCGGCATCCTGCCATTCAGCATGCCCAGGTAGCAAATCCCATAGAACAGGAGGCAGATCTTCCCCCTGTTCAGCAGCCCCAGCCTCGGCACCCTGCTGAGGGGCAGGTCCAGCCTCGGCCCCTTGCTAAGGAGCAGCTGCGTTCAGGGGGACCGCCGGAATCCCCCTCTCTGGGTCTTCCTCGACACGTTCTCCATTCCAGACGTCGGCGCGGTCCCGGGGATCCCGGACCGGACCTCGTCTCCCAGTCCGGCGACCTCTTAAACGAGTCATGGACAAATTCGCGAGAAAGGAAGTTGGGAAAAGAGGAGTTCTTTGAGAAAACTAAGAGAATCAAGGAAAAATCGAGGAAAATTACCTTTATGAGAATCGAAACTCGCCGATTCAGTTAGTCGGAGCAGCGAGTTCAAGCGTCGAGATTTGATTTCGGGTGTACAGTGGAATTTCGAAGTGGAAGCAACGGTTTCTTGAGAGGATTCGAGATGGGATTGGTGAAGAAATGAGGAGAGAAATGGCGAAAATGTCTTATGTTTCCAGAAAATGAGAAATTCAAAGGTCAGAATGCTTAATTCCTCTTAAAAGCCTTCCTAAGTAACCGTTAAACTCTCTCTCTCTTGATTAACCGCCCACTATCCACTCAACTTCCCATTAATCATCCTAATTACATTTATTTAGTTAATGACTGTTTAAAATTTAAATCTTTTGATTTAATTAAATCATTTACTTCCCTCCATTTTTATTGGATTCAAACCCGACCCGTCATCCTTCCAAATCGGGTCTGGGGGGCAAGTTGTTTGGGTCCAATTTATCTAATTGGGCCTAGTCATTAAATGATTCAATGCTCCAAGGTCAAGGCCCAAGCCTCCAATCAAGCCAAGTCAGCTATGTATCAATTGGTCCAAATTGTCATGGTCAGCCCATGACTCAATCCGGCCCAATCATTCTCCTCCTTTTGTCATGCCAAGGTATAAAAGCCTTCAACTCATTCATTTATGATATACACACATGAAAGCCTCAAGCACAAAATCTCTCGCATAGCTTTCTCTCTCTAAACACTGTTTGACTTTGGCATCGGAGGGGTCTTCCTCGGATCCACCCCCGAGGCCAGTTTACGTGTATTTGCTGTGCAGGAAACCTTCGGCCCCGCATTATTTGGACCGGATAAGTCTTCATCCACTTCATCAGACCTTCGGCAAGGTCCCATTGTTTTCACCCGAAACACTTGTAATATGAAATTTAATATTCGTATTATACTTCGTATGTTGCTTTGCACATATATATACGAGGTTTGGTCTACCAAACTTCTCTCTACATAAATTACCTCCTTTTAAATGTTGTTGCTTTTGGGATAAGATAAATGATTATCCTTGGTTTACAAGAACAAAATTTACCAATAACTAAACTCCATAAGTTAATGGTAAATATCACATCAAACAAACTTGATAGGTAGAGTACAAGGATTTCTCTTCTATTGTGAAAATGAAAGAGTAGTTTAAAAGAGAGATTATAATTAGTTTACCGTAAACGCACCAAAACCAAATTTTTAAAAGAGAGATTATAATTAGTTTTTAAAGTGAATTTGAAAGAGTAGTTTAAAAGTGAGACAAACATTGCCTAGCTTCTCAGCAAACTTCAACCATGCATATTTTGTATTACATAACTAACTAACTAACAATGGTGTTTACTCATTTGTTATGCTACCATACCATTATTGTAGTATGCTTCTTAAAATATTCCCTCTTTCGCCCCGTTTATAATCTCTCTAGCCCATCAATGACGAAGTTCAAAACTTTGAAGTGTTTTTATTCCAAATTTACCTTCCTATATAGTCAAAATTTATAAATATCAAAACGACCTTTACACATAATCTTTCGGACCTGAAAGCTTGATCCATCCCTCGGAGTGTTTTATCATTGCTCCACATCAATCCACCAAGACGGTACCTACAACATGGGAGGTAGAGATGGTCATGTTTTGCTAGGATTAGTGTTTCTAATAATAGGTCTTTGGCATCTCTACAATCATCTAAAAAACCATGCAATTCTAAAATGCTTTAAATCCTATACTTGGTTTCCTTCCTCATTCTCAAGGTATTTGGAACTTTACTTGATCTTGAGTGGATGTTCTATATTCATCTTCATGGAGCTCCATAGCTCGCCATTCGATCATAATGGAGCAATCCTAGCCACTCATCTCCACCATTTTGAGCATTCTTTCATTGCCTTGGCATTCTCCTTCCATGCTCTCTTTGCTATCATCCTTGACAAAATTAGGCCTAGCACCAAGGCTCATGTCAATATAAGCCATTTCCTCGCGACCATGGCCTTTGGCCAAGAGCTTCTCCTCTTTCACTTCCACACAACGGATCATGTAGGCCTAGAGGGCCAATACCATTTGCTCCAACAACTAGTGGTTATGGTGTGCCTATTTTCCACTATTCTAAGCATATGGTTGCCTAAGAGCTTCATGTTGTGCTACATTAGGTCACTTGGTATAATATTTCAAGGACTTTGGCTCATTGTCATGGGATTCATGCTATGGACTCCGGATTTCGCTCCCAAAGGTTGCTCAATGAAGTTGGGTCATTATGGTCGGCATGTGATTAAGTGTGATGAACACGAATCATTGCATCGCGGTAAGGCGTTGGTTAACATCTTGTTTAGTTGTTTTTTCATAGGTATGATGGTTTTTGGTGTGGGTTCTTATTTGGTTATGAACAAAATTTATGGTTCATATAAAATCATGGAGGATAATGATGATGAGGAATTGACATGTGAAATGGAAGATAAGCAAAATTTTCTTTACAAAAACAGGGTTTTACCAATTGATTTGGAAGAATTGTAGATATATTACCTGTGTTTGTAAATTAAAATGATATGGTTACAATTGTATTTATTCATTTATGTAAATATCACTGTAATTTCATGCTTACTACTAAAATTTCTTTGTTGTATTTATACCTTGTTTTCTCTTGGACCTTATCCTTAGCTGATCCAAACTTTCTAAGAGTATTAGCATAATCCAATCTATAATTGGGTCATTAAGATTAAGTTATGTTTGAGTTAAATGCAAATCTACATTTGATTTGGGTTCAGAATTTCTTTATGGTTCAATTAGAACATGTAAATACATTGATTGAAAGGATGTTTATGGAAAAAATCAATGTTATAGTGTGGTGAAAAGAGGTCCGGTGGTGGTGGTGGTGAAGGGGCAGGTGTTACGTAAGGAGAAGGGGTTCGAGGAGGCAGCTAAATCTTAGTCCATCCCCGTTCATGACTTGAGTTAATGAGGTCTTTTCTCTCTCATGTCTATCTTTGGCAGTTCACCTGAAGGCTGAAGGAAAAACATACATGGGGATCTTAATGTATAGTATTTTCCAAATACAAAGTGAAGCTCTTATTGAGGAACATTACTACATTAGTGATAGAATTTATGCATTAACATAAAAAATTAAAAAACTTGCAACTTTAAAAACGAATGATGTATTAAATAGAATATTTGATGTTACTCATACAGTCCAAAAAATGTATATTCTCTTTTGGTTGTCTGAACACAAAACACTTGTTACTGAACTAGATCTGTAATCAAAACTGTGGACATTATTTGTTGCTCTAATTGCCTTTTCAATTCCAGCATGACAAGGACAAATCAATTCTTTTTGAAATTGCTACCCACCTATTGTACTAATTGCTTTATAACTTAAAATCTCTTGTTTAGTGAAAATAAGTTGATTAGTTAAGACCCCACAAGGGAAATTTCATACATTCTGTTACAAGGATTAAATGGGAAGTAAACAATTCATAAATCCCATTAACCAAATTTATACTCCAAGGCTCCAAATCCTCAGCATTCTATTGTTCTCACACCAATGAGATGAATACTTAATTGTACGGCGGCACCAAGGTCTCTATCCTCACGCCCTAGTCCCTGGATAAAAGCAGTCGATACCATTCTCCTTGAGCTTAAAGTGGAAATTTTGCACCTTGTTTGTTGAACTCCTTGACTCGTCAAGCATTCCTTTGTTCAGTATAGTCAACTGCAAGTTGCAGAACAAAATTTAGAGAGGAGATTCAAATTTCTGCGTGGCCATTATGCCAATCGCTTCATTTGCCTAGCAACTTTTTATAACAGCTTCATATAAGAGATTTGGCAAAGAAATCTTGCACCACCCCACCCAAAAACTCATGCATGAGAATCTAACAAAGTAACAAGCAGCTTATAATCTCATAAGTTTGCCAAAGATTGCCAAGTATAAGATGATACAGATTACAGAACATTGAGATTTAGCATAACTAACAGACATACTGAAATTTGCCCAAATACCTGTCCATGGACATCGGTTGCCAGACCAGTCGCCAATGGTTCAACTTTAATCAATATGTTAGCTAGGTACTCCATCTGTACAATGGGTGTTGAACTTTCCTCTCCAAGATAGATATCCTCATGGTTAAGGATCACAAGGGAACATCCCTGGAGAAAGGCGAATGAGAAGATCAAAACATACTTTATTGAGAACCTGGATTGCATCGAATTGTGCAAGACATCAAACTCATAATTGAATTGTCATAGTGAAATTATCTTAAATTTTCAAAAAAATCTTTACTTCAATATGAGTCAACAGGTGCAGGACATGCCTATTGCAGGTGCACAATGGATCTCTTTACTTCAATATGAGTCAACAGGTGCAGGACATGCCTGTTGCAGGTGCACAATGGATAATCTTTTATTCAAAGAGGGCATGAGCTTATCAACTTTCTCTACATCATAATCCAAGACCTATATTATATTTTTCATCTTACTTTTCGAGTTTTATTATAAATTAATTAGTACTTCCTCCATTCCAAAATCATTAAAACATGAATTGGTTTACACTTCCCAACACAACTTTATTGATTAATATCTTTAATGGTCCATAAGTAAAAGTTATTTTTTTATTTAAAAAAATGATATTTATGGAACAGAGGAATTACAAAATTTCCAAATTTATGTTCTTCCATTTATCAACATTGTACTTGTATAATTTTAGTCAATCGACTCTCTTTATTCTCATTTACGTTCTCCTCAACCTAGGTAATGCAACCTCAAATGTCCAAAATAAAAACACCAAGATTAGTATGAAGCCCAAAAGTATAATACCATATAGTACTTGACCATCTCTTAGATTTTTCCAGGTCACGGGCCTGCAGCACTTATGAGTTATGACTAGCAGGTACAAAGGTTAACACTGTACCAGAATGGGAACTGAACTAATCTAGTTGGAAGTTGGAACTAATTCACAAAGCCAATATGCTACCTTCCAGCATGCACTAAAATAAACATTCTCTTTCTCTTTAAGTTGTGAGGGGGAGCAAAAACAACAATGCATGGACCAAGAAAAAACGTATCAACTTACAAATTCTGAAGTCAAAGTGTAACAATATCGCAGAAAGTCCAAGCTGTGATTGAAAGAGCCCTTGGCAGCGACCTCGATTAGGGAGAAATCATCAAGCATAATAGTGATACTTTTACTGTTTCCATTACTGGAAATAATGTCTTCTACAACTTTTTGGATTTTCCCGTAAAACTCAATCAGCCCACCAGACTGTATGTTTCCCATGCTCTGGTCTGGTTACAAACATAAATCAGAAAAGAGAGAAAAAGAATGAGAAGAAAAGAGCATTTTCAAGAACTTCTAAGAGTATAAATTTATAGATGGTCCTAATATGTCTCAACCTGATAAAGGCCTATACATCCAGAAATAGATACTTCAGTGTAAAAGTTGAGTACAAGCCAAAGTCTATAATCAATCTACTCTGGCCATTTAGGATCAATCATCAAAATATCTACATGAGTTTTTAACAACATGAGTTTAGTCAAGTCCTAAGCCTCCTGTTCCTATTTAAGTCTTGTCCACATACCAAGCCCCATGCCATAACTCAAGACTAGTGCAAATTAAATATTTCCAATACATTAGTTCATAAAAATCTCAAGGAGGGGAACTAATCAATAATTGCAGCAGATTTAGATACTTCAAAAGCTAGTATAACTACCATGCCATAAAACAAAAACTGAAAATTTGTCAATGGACAATCAAATTACCCATCTTAACTCAAGAGTCTTGAGAATTTCTGCAAGGAGTCAGCCCAATCAGCCCAGGCCTGTGATCACTTACGCTCGTAGAAAGGCCAAGAATAATCCAGTTGCAACTTGAATGACGAGGTGGAATGCAGTTATGAAATTTGTTAGAGATTTCGGGGTAATTAAGTAAATTGTGATTAGTTTGTTATTCTCTCTTAGCTGGAAGGAAGTTTGTTAGAATCTTGTAATAAATAGAGAAGTTGTAAGTGGGATGAATTATGCAAAAATAGTGAGAAGTAAAGACTGGGAGAGAATCCTTCCTCTTGAAAGGAGCTGTATTGTTGGTTACTCTGATCATCAATACAAACTATCATTGGGGCTAATTTTTCTGATTTTCTGTTTAGATTAATCTGATTCCTAGCAATCTCTTGAATTAGCAGGTTCGCAAAGCAATCAAAAGGACAATCTCCCTCTCTAAAATTTTACTATTCCAACTTTCTTACTAACTCTAACTTGTAAAGATAATATTTTGCAAATATGATCTTTAAAGTTAAGCTTATCTTATACTAACCGAATTAAACTAACAAAAATATCCTAATAAATTCGGTCATCTAATAATAAACTAAAAATAACAATAAAAATAATTATAATAACAATATTGATGCCTTGGAACCGCATCAAACTGTTTTCTCCTCATCACTTTCTCCTATATCACTAACACGCCTTTAAAAAAATGTATACAAAGGGATTATCTTCTGGAAGGAGGAAAAGTATCATTACTAACTGAAAAGGTTATACTATTCACTCATTTCCAGTGAGTGACAATAGATGTTACATTTCCAAATAATAATGCCAATCTATTCTCTCCTATATTACACTTTTTGGAACCTTAACATATCCATCAATATAAATACCAGATTTTCAGTGCATGAAACTAGTTCTCCTTATCTAATTTCCTAAGTGACTCTGATACATTATTATTTATAAACATAAATATAAAGGACCAAGGGCCTAAAAAACATAAAGAAAAAACAGATATCTTCTGACACCATGCAAGGTACAAATGGAATTAACAAGGCATAGGATAGATTGCAAACTTAGTTAAAATGATCGATAAAAAAAAAAAAAAAACCCAAGCGTAGATGTGAAAATCTCACCGGTGCATCCTAGCATAAGCATGTCAAAGAAGAAAAACCTTCCACTCTCGCGGTGAGCAGCCAAATTACAACCCTGTTACAGCTCCAAATATCAATATCCAACATTCACAAACAGTATCAGTCATTAAATAAAGCGAGAAGAAGAATACATTAGCCATTCGGAAAGGGGAAGGAATAGCTATGTTATCATTTCATCCAATCAAGCATGAAACGAAAAGCAAAGCAAGAAGAAACAATGACTACCCCTATGGAAATACAAGTCATCATATATAATTTCATCTGATGTAAGTCCCGACTGCTTATCCATTGAAATACAAAAAATTCTCCTTCATTCATTATAGATGCACATAAAATCATTATAAACACTTTCTTCACTAGTTTAGTCCCGACGGCGCCATGAAAATTAAGCATCAGCCTAATGTAGCTTGAAATTGTTTATTCTATGATACAAGTAGCTTAGCAAATTCAAATTAGTGATCAATCAGACCATAACTTTGCATTTAATTCCAAACTTATATAAACCATCTCAATTCATTTTAATACAAACACCAAAACCCACAATTTATAGCAGGAAAATTGAAATAATTTCCAGAATATAACAAACTAAGAACTTATCAGTAAAACCCTAATTAATTTTCACACCCATCAATGTTCAAATTCAAGCTATACCACAATGTAAACCAGAAATTTAAATTCTACAATCATCAAAGTGCTAAAAATTAAACAAAACAAGTAAACAATGAAAATCCAGAATGCAATTAACAAGAAGCAAGGAATAAATTGACAATAGCAAGAACAAAAGGGGCATACGTGTTTTCGGAGAATGCGATCATAGTGAGAGAAAGGATGAGAAAGAGAGACGAAGATGACAGAAGCAGAAGCAGAGAGAGAACGCTTGAGGATGTGATTGATGACGAAAGCGCCGCTAGTTTCGATGCAATCTTCAATCAACACACAACTGCCACTGGGAAGTGAGGAAGAAGATGAAGATGAGTTGTTATGGAAGATTCCAAGAGCTTCATCCAGTAGATTTGAACTTCTCTCCATTGTTGCAATTTTTAAGCTCTTTTTGGGATGTCAAATGACATGGTTCATGGTTGTACAAATTTTACAGGCCTCGTTTGGCAATTTGGCAATTGGTGTTGGCCCTTCGGCATTGGCGGTCGGTTAGTTCACTTGACTTGTTTGATAGTTGAAATGTTTGACTATTTATAATAAGTTTTTATAATAAGTTTTTAAATTGGTTGTTTTAGCTAGTTATTTATAAAAGTATTTGGTAAATTTAGTTGATGGTTGTTCATTTGATAATTTGTGGGCCAATAAGTAAAAATAAAATAATAAAATAAAAATAAAAACCCTGCTCATAACACTTTTTTCATTTTGACTTAAAATCCTTTTTTTCGCTAAATGAAAGTCAATTACCAATTTATTTATTTATTTTTATTTATTTTATTTTTTTTGCTATTTGACCACATAAAAAAACCAAAATCCAAAAGCTAACCAATAAGTCATTTACCAAACAAGATCGTGGTATCGTTTGTTTTTTTGGCAGTAAAGTAAACGACATTGCCACATGATCAATGTGTCCGTTTCTCATATATAATCTTATTCGTTTAAGTAAGAGATCTAATGGCTCTAATCAAATGTTTTATTAATGGCAAAACCGTAAATATTATTTTAAAAAAAATTCTCATATCTTTCTTTCAACTTCTTCTTCGTTACTTTTCTTCCCTATTCATCAACTTTCCTCCATGCTCATCCATTTCACCATTTTTTTCTCCCAGAGCACTGTTTTACCCATTCCGACAAAGTCTCTCTCGTCCCTATTCCTCTCACTCTCTCTCCTGCCCTCCATATTCATCTCTTTTCCCATTCCCCATTCTCTTCTCCTGTGTTACTCTTCCTCTCTTCAAATATAATTTGCAATATTCTCGTAAAAAATGTGCGTAATTCTTGTACAAAAATGTGCAGATTTTACAAATAATATGTGCATATTTACTAACAGAAATTGCAAATCTTATGTACCAAAGATGCATTTTTATTGAGTTAATTGTGCAAATCAGTTGTAATAAAGCTGCATATATTTTAAATAAATTATGCATGTAGATGAATAAGATGAACTAAGTATGTTTGTATGCAATCAAACTGCAATTGGTTAATTAATTGACGACTTCTGTACTAAAACCTATTTTTGTAAAGGTATAGGATGAATCATTTTCAGGGTAAGACAAATACATTTCAAATGGTGTGCATAATATTTGACGCAATGAAATTGAGAATGCAATTCGACATGAGAGTGTATATGTAGAACCTAGATTTGTATCGAAGCCTATGACTCATTGCTTATTGTTGTGTTTGCAAGAGGTTCATGACCACAATTAGTTTCTCATCACTATAGTTGAAAAATTAAAACTTAGAACAAGCATTAATGGAAGACAAGAGAAAGTTTGTCGCACCGAAGAGGAAAAACTTCGGAAAAATAAAGGTGAAAATTAATGTGCAATTTTTTAAAATTAATATGCATAATTTTTGTACAACATATGTATATTGCGTAGGTGAACGTGAATCATTGGATTTTTTTGTACGATTGAGATTCCTTCTCATTCTTCTCATTTTAAGATCCATCTCACCAGATCCCAACTCTATGTATATATGTTATAATGTTATTATTTTGAATATGTGACCTCCAATTGAAACACTGAACGTATTACCATCAAGCTAAGTCATATTTTATGATCTTTTATGATCACCACAATTTTTTGTTATATAGTGAAAAATAATATAAATAACAATTTTAATTACAAGAATTGATAATTGAGTCATTAGTTAAATGTAAATTAATTGTTAGGCAGTGGATGACTCTAGGCATTGCTGGCCCAAAAGCTAGTTTCTCCTTAATTACCATGAAATATGAGAAACACCACAAAGCATTTAAGAGCAAATAGAGTAGTCACTACTAATTTATGGTCTTACGACCAAAACAAACTTTTTGTTGTACTTTATAACATAGAGTGAGTGATATTACATCCAGTACTGCGTTGTCAACTTGTCACATCATATATGAATACTACATATTTCTTTTTTAAAACTATTAAAACCCATTTTCTCTCTCTAACCTCCCATGATCTCTCTATATTTTTAACACCACCCTTAAAAACCTTCAAAAGCTTAAAAGATTTACAAAGATTTGTTATCAAAATTAGATTACTATGGATCTTTGACAAAGAATACAATATATTGTTACAAATAAGAAAAATAAAACATGTCCTCAAAAGAAAAGTGTAGACACCCAAATGTGTCTTCCCAAAACCAAACCCAGTGATGAGTACCTTTCGCGTTGAATCATAATCGAATGAAGCGAAAGTGTGGAAAGCTTAGTGTTGCGGATAGTTTTATTTTCTTTTCTTCTCTCTGTTTTTGAAAACTTATTTTAGTAAAACAGTCAATACAGTTTGGTTGGTCCATGATATGGGTCCAATAGTAGTGTAGTTGGATGGGGCTTGACAAGAGCTTTCCAACGATATATTATAAGCCCAATTCCGATGAATATTGAGGAAGTTATGGCCAATTTACTAAACTAGGCCCGGTTTGAGCATTATGTACGGCCCAATGATCTAGGGGAGGGCCTAATATGATTTATCATTCCTAATGCAATTAGGAATGGTTTTAGTCTTCTAGATTCTTCTAGAAGGTTCTTTTCATTCTGTAGGCGTCGTTCGAAGTGCGCCTACGTTAAAAGCATTGGTGAATATGCTTGGCACTCATAAGAAGTGGGAATTGACATTACGATTAGGGACAAATAAAGTAGGGAGCCTCCAACAAGTTTTTTAAGGAACTTGTAAACCGTTCACGGATCATAAAAGGCAACCACGATAAGGGACAACGATAGGCAACAACGATTGACCCGTGAAGGTTACACCCCATTCATAATCCATGAGATTACTAACTCCATATGGTTCGGAACCACGAAAGGAGGATCGGGGATGATGGTACGAAGTGAGTCATGGAGTCACATTCGCCGTATTGGCCTCTACTCGATTCTTATATTGAAAAGCATTCCTGTAATCTCAAAGGCATACAAACAATAATTCAATTCACTCCAAACTATTATTTAACTAAATTGGTTTAAAATTAATGCACACATAATTCTAAAATTTGATGATCACTTCAATTAATAATAAGATTAAAAGGATCCTAAACCGGTTGTCCAAATTATCTTATTAGGCGTGATTTTCAATCACATATTCCCTTTAAACATGCAATATTGTGATCAATAATAACAATAATAATAGAATCAACATTAATATCAAAACCAATTTAATCACAATCCCAACAACATAAAATTGTTAGAATAATAATAATAATAATAACAATAATAATATAAGAGCATGATCCTTACTTTGAATCTGTTTGCTTGCAACTACAAAATAATAAACGAGTTAGTAACTCCAAGGAAATAATAAAACAATAACTAAATTAAATTAAATAAAATAAGGTTGATTTTGGGGCCAAACCCTCAAACGATTCTACCTTTCACGCCTTGGCTTAAGGACAAAACCTCGAGTAAAATATGGACTCCTTTGAGTGCTTGAAGAAGGAATTTTGAAGTGAAAAGGGTAGGCTAGGGTTTAGATTAATAGCATAGAAGAGAGAAAATAAGAATAGTAAAATTCTGGTTGCCCCGTACATCAGAAATGAGGGGGTATTTATAGGGAAATGTGCTGAGGGAGCACACGGAACCCTAAAATGATAAAAACCCTAAAAAAGTATCCCGTGACACGGTCAGACTGTACCTTCAGACGGTACACTTTCCCGTGACACGGTCAGCTTTGGAGTGACGCGGGAAATTTTCAGAAAACGGAATGAAAAACGCGTTAAGGGTTTACGCGGAAAGGACACGGAACATCCCGTGTCACGACAGACCTCCCGTGTCACGGGAAGTCCCACCGTCAGACGGGAAGGATTCCCGTGACACGGTCAGGCTGTACCGTGACACGGTCAGTTCCAGTCCATTTTTCCGTCTAAATTCATTTTTAACCCTAATTTCTTTCGGCTTTTTAAGTGCCGATTGATAATTTCGGGCTTTTTCCTGACTTTTATTATTCGGGCTAAAATAAGAAAATAATGAAATAAAAATAAATAAAATATTTGGGCCAAAAATAAATAATAAAATAATAAAATAAAAAGGTTTGGGCTTAAAATTAATTAACAAGCTTGGGCTAAAATTAAAACTATGCTTTTACCAAACATCAAGACTAATCCATGGACTTTTCAAAGGTATGAATTTAATAAAATACGATTTTTCAAGCACTCTCGGGATTAAATACTAAACCTGACCAACAGTGGCGGTGAAAGGTTATTTATCATCGGGTTTGGTTTTGGGGAGACATTTTTAGGTGTCTACAGAAGCCCCCACTTTGACTGAGTTTGTAGAAACATTAGTTTCGAAAACGATAGTCAAAGTAGTCGATAGGGACGGAGAATGATTTAAGACGTTCTGCGATCCTAAATCACTCTACATACGCCGATACCTGCAGAAAAATGTTAATTCCACAAATAAGAGAGTAAAGGGATAGAAACGTATCTGGCACCAGTGTGTCGGTGACAAACGAGTTTGGCAGCTTCCTAAGCTTGAAGGAATCCACCGAGTGACATTTGTTGAAATGCTTCCCATGCTTGAGGAAAGCCGACTGAAGAGTTTGGTACCTTTCTAAGCCTGAAGAAAGCTACCGGATAATACTTTCCATGCCTGAGGAAAGTTGACGAACAAATTTGGTGTCATTCTATGCTTGAAGAAATCCACCGCTAATGCCTTCCAAACTTGAGGAAAGCCGACAAAGGAATTTTGTGGTTTTCTATACTTGAAGAAAAATCCACTGATGATGCTTTCCATGCCTGAGGAAAGCCGACTTGGCGGTTTTTAATACTTGAAGAAAAATCCACCGATAACGCTTTCCAAGCCTGAGGAAAGCCGACTTGGCGGTTTTCTATACTTGAAGAAAAAATCCACTGATAACGCTTTCCAAGCCTGAGGAAAGCCGACTTGGCGGTTTTCTATACTTGAAGAAAAATCCACCGATAACGCTTTCCAAGCCTGAGGAAAGCCGACGATTGTGGAAAATTGATAAGTATATGGTGGTTCGATTATCCCCGAACGTGGG